TCTTCCCTACAGGCCATGCATTAAATAACTGCAGTAAGTTACATTTATATTCAATAATTTCTAGTAACGGGATTCATATACTCTATTGTAAAATCTGGCATGCAAATCGCTAATTTAGGTGGAGAACCAAACCCTGTAACACCCAGTCTGGTTTCTCATACAGGCTAGTGCTTTGAAGCCAACCTTTAAGGGATTAATTTTAGATAAAGCTACTACTCTGTTAATAAATTGCCATTTTTGAGTGCTTCTTGGTACCCACTGCTGTGCTAGGCAGTTAATTTATAGTTACCTCATTTAATTCTTAAAACAACTCCATTATCCCTGCTTTACAGATGAGAAAACTGATACTTAGACAGTTTTCTAATACTAAGCAGGTGGTAAATGACAAAGTCAGAATTGATCTGATCTAACCATTCTACTACATTGCCTAACAGTCTCAAATATTCCTAAGAGTTTTAGGATAAGACGCAGGCCTAACAAAGTAACTAACATGTTGAAGGTATGTGATACTTCTTTACTAAGTCATTCAGAAAGAAGGTTCTATTTATTTAGGTGATATGTATTAACTTACAATAACTTACGTTAATCACATTTCAATAGGAAGGCCAGGAAGAAGAACCATATAAAAAACCATTTAAGTATAAATTAAACCTCATTTATTCCCCTTGTCATTAAATTAGTGGGTCAATGTTTTCAGTAAGAGATTGTGCCAGCAGGATGCCCCATTGCTCTGGACTTCAACGATGTTGATAACTATTAATCACTTAAGGCAGGCAGGATGGAGGGAGTGTCTGTTGATTCTGTTTCACTAGATGGAACACTAAGTAATGAGTTAGAAAAACTATAGGCATCTGCTTTTTAGATTGTATCTTTTAGTTTTTGTAAACTAAAGGATAGAGTGTAGATTTTTTAAAAGAGAGTTGTTACATTCTGTATAAAGCTCCTTTTTATATAGCTCATTGGAGAGGCAGTGCAGCAGATGGTTGTTAGTCAGAGCTGGGGTGATTCTGGGCTTGCTTTGTGAGCTTGAGCAGGTTTCTTGGTTTCTCTAATTCTCAGCTTTCTCACCTTTAGAGTTGAGATCATATTACCTACCTCACTAAATGGTAGTATGTATGTTCGCATCTACCCCACCACCGCCACCTTTTTACATTCAACAGATAATTATTGAGAATCTGTTATGTGTTAGGTCCTGTCCTGTACAGTGAACTCTTCTAAGAGCTCAAAGTGACAGGGAGAAAGGCACCTGAGCATCTATTGCAATGCAGTTTAACCCTCTCTACATGCTGGAGAAACATGAGGTATGGAGCACCTACTTGTTTTTTTGGGGGGGAGCATGTAGCAGTGTTCATTTTAAACATCTTTGTATGTAATGGTCATTTAATACTGGGTGAACATTAAACCTTTGTATTTTATGGTCAGAAATTAACTTAATCTAAACACTAGGCTGATTTGCAATGCTTGGCATTGATTTTTGCCATTGGGTTAAGAATATGTTAGAGCAGATGTAGCATTCTTTACAATGATCAGTATCAGAAATTACTGATTTTATGAGACTGAAACCATGTAAGGACATGCAGTATTGTCAGCTTGATCATAGCTCACAGGGTTGTAGAATTGCAGTATTGATGGGGCACCTAATATGCAGCAGACAAGAAATGTCCTTGCCTTCCCAGAGCCCATAGTTTTGGGGGAAAATGGACAGGACAGGTGGGCACAGAAAAGCATGATATATACCATCTTTGTTGGAGTGATAACCTGATATTCACTGGTCCTGACATTATTCCTATTGTGTTATACTGTAAACATGTGCAAAAGAAGAACTATGAAATCGTAATTTGATTTTAAGGTCAAATAAGTGATATTAAGGTCACTTAGGATGCTGTGGCATTTATCCAGCAATCCATCACTGATGCAAAATGACTCCCTGTCATTACAGTGCAGCCAGTCATGCTAAATTTGACAGCAGTTCTACATTCAGGTTTGTGAGATGTCATGTTTGGTGGATAATTCGGCAAGTATGAATTTTTCTCCTTTCTTCCTGAAGGGCGAAGGCTTACCCTCTGCTTCTGAATCTCTAAGATTCCCATCATCTACCAGGAGGTGACGCAAATGCCTGAGGCTCTGTCCCTGTTGCTCTGCTTTGCCACCCTTCCAGACCCATCGTGTGTGCACCAGCTGTGTTCATAGATCTTTCAGAGAGCCAGGCCTCCTCCTCTGTGTCCTGGGGTCCTAACTGGGTGGTGAAACCTAATCTGGTATTACTTGTTGATGTCATAATTCTTTACTAAGTATTTTATTGAACTATCACTAAAAGATAGGACTGAGACAGGGGTCCTCCTAGGTGGGCTAATAAGGTGTTATCCTAGGAAGGCTAATGATTTGATGCCATTTCAGATTGTTATTCTTTAAATATTTGTTCACAACATATTTAAGAGGAGAAGCCAAGCGCTGCACAAAAGGGAAGAGGGTAGCCAGAGCCCCTCTCACTGCCGCTTCTCCTGTTCCCAGGATCTGAACTGACCAGAAGAAAAATAGCAGGTTCCTTATCTTTTTTTCCAACCGTAATCTGTGCAATGCTTGAGAAAAGTTCTGGTTATCACTATTTTGTTTAATCTAGTTAAGTTTTCAGAGATGTTTTCAACATCCCATTGATGAATCTGCATAGAAGCTGCTATAATATCTGGGCTCTTAATCTAGCTCTGTAAAGAGACACTAGGATAGACCACAGGGATATACATAAATAAGACACTGCCCCTGCACGCAAAGAACTTGAGGTGACCGTTATTATATACTATAAAGCAGTGTGAGAGAACTATTATTAGTAAGTGTTCCAGGAACACAGATGGAAAGAGCAGTGTATTCAGCCTGTGGTGGTCAGGGTGGCTCATGAAGGTGATCCTGGGGCGGGACAGATGGTGAAATGAAGTGTCCCTCTTTTCAGCACGTCTGGTATTCATAATGTGAACTTTTCAAATGAATAAAATAGGCCACTTTACTTTTACGTAACTTGAAGCCTTGAATTTATGGAGTTGCACAAGGCAGGCGAGTAAGGGCGATGCTGCGGTGATTCTTGGGTGATTCTTGCTAAATCCAACCTGCAAAATGAGATCGAGTGATACGTAGAGATTCTTGACTTCTTGCTAAATCTTAAAAGGAAATATTTTATTGAACTATCACTAAAAGACAAATTCACCCAAATGTAAAACCATTCTCAGATTTCAAATTTTTATACTTTGCTTAACTGCAGAAGCATTTGTCAGTCTTCCCTATCTGCACTGACCCCAGGAAATAAGATCATCCAGACTTCTCAATTTTCAAAATAAAAGCCTTGGGGCCTTTTGTTTTTCTGTGAGCAAGCTGATTGTCCCCTATTGTTCCTTCATCCACAGTCACTTGGAGGTTTTCCCTTATAGTCCGGCCCTGGGAACCTCCTGAAAGGAGCTCTTATTTGAGAAAAGGAATTCTCAGGGTTAAGCTTGTCATCCCAGATCTTCCAGAATACATTTGCTTTGGTTATCTTGGAATTGACTCTCTAAGTGAAAATGCACATATCTTGTGCCCTGCCACTGGGGAGAGAAAATGTGTTTGAGGGGGTAGGTAAGTCCAGCTTTATAACACTCATTAGCATAGTGAGCTGCCAAGCAGATGACACCACAGCCTCTCTCAGCAGCTGGGTCTCTCAATCACTGGCAGCCAAGTCCCATTTTTATCCTGCCTAACAGGGACTATTTATGCTATTCGAAGAGGCATTACCATTTAGTATTTTCACATTTCATTCTTCCAAATTGTACTTTTGTTTGCTGCTGGGGAGGAAGAAAGTTGATACTTTTGCTATGGTTTGTACAATTAGAGTGATTTGGTTTTAGCCTGGATGAAGAATCTGAGCTACATTTTGTTGTTTTTTACTTGACAGCAGTGGTTTTACTCCAAGATGACAAGTTGTCATTATAAGAGAGTTTTCATGAAGCTCTACATTCATATCTTCTCAGCAAAATATTCCTCTGGTTTAGGTAAATGTTAAATAGAAAAGAGGAATGAAACTCATTAATAAAACCCATTCAAACCCAACTCAGTCAAAGAAATGCAAAATAAAGCAACAGTAAGATCATTTTCTCATATATGGAATTAGCCAAGATTTTTTTCTTTAAATGATGATTCCTACATATAGACCATGCTACTTATGTATTATTTATAGGAAAGAAAATTAGTATAATCTTCTTGGGAAATAATTTGATGCTGTATATTAGCAGCCTTAAAATGTTCATGCTGTGACCCATGACTCACATGAAGAATACAGAAATGTTTATAGCATTATTAGTAATAAAATGAGAAAATCAAGATTCTGGGGAAATGATTTTGTAAACTATGGTGTATGTATGTATGAATGCCTATGTTTTCATCAAATATGTTTAGAGAAACTGTTATATCAAGAAAGTCTATGATAAATAATAAGAGGCAAAAATTTTGTGCCAGTGAATTTGACAGTGGCATAATTGTATAAAACTAGCAGGCCAGCAAAACAAAACAATCCAAAAAAACCAACAACAACAAAAAAGAAAAACTACAAGGAGAAAACTATCCCAACTATTAAGTCTTTTTTCCTCTAAGCTTCCCCTGTTTTCTTTATGAAACATAGAAAATTTCAGTGAGTTTTTCTTTTATTTATAAAGTGAATGATGCCTCAGATATAATGCTTATCTCATTCTTAGTTTAAAATTTAGTGTTCATGTTTTATGCTCTGCAAATTGCCATGGTGATGAGATTAAATATGTAGCTTTTGACTGATTTGTTTCTCTCCCTGGGGATTAGTCGATCACCTTTGTGAGAGATCAGACAGTGATCTCTTCAACAACAATCACTTTTTTAAAAAGTTATCTTCTGTATGTGTCATAAAATTATTACAGATGTTGGAAATTTTAGAACCACATGAGTGGATAAATTGTTTTGTAGTCCTGTGATGTGTAAAATATAACAATATGTTTATGATTTCTCTTTAGGAATTTTTCAAATAGAAGCTAATTGCAGAGTTTTCGGTTGACCAGCATTCATAAGGTAAGATTAACATTCTGAATTGTGAACACATGGTAAAGATAATTACTATTACATTGGTAGCTTAGGGCAAATAAATATTGAATACTTAGTATGTAAAAAGAGATTACTATCTTACAGATGTTTCAAATGAAATCCTTTTGATGCTTTTAAGCCAGTTAATAAACAGAAAATTAAATTTGTATACATGTTGGTAAGATGCCATTTTCCTGTCCTTTGTTGGTTTTGTATGTGGGAAAGTATGTGTGTGTATGTTTAATATTTGCCATTTTTTTTAGCATTAAAGATCTACAGAATATATTAAAGTCTGTAAGGGACTTAGACCATGTCTATATTTTTCAGATTTTTTTTTAAGGTAACATTTTTAATGTGTAGGATCAGTTTGCTGTGTTTCTGTAAGTAAGAGATGGCTGTGTTTTTCTAGAGTAGGTAAGTCGAAATAATCAAGCCCTATACTGTGTTGCTTTCTGTAAACATCATCAGTCTTTTCTAGCTGTGGAACATTAATCTGAAATTAGCACTGTGGCAGAGCTTTTGACTTTGACATATGAATGATTACATTGTATTAAACAGCATGACTCTCTAGTGTTATGAATATGACGTTTATCTTAAAAGTATGCCACCTAGTCCTGAACATACAGTCCAGGTGAAGCAGAGGTGAGGACAAGCGGTCAGTCCCCTACTATATTCTCAGCACCTTTCTTTTTATTTTTATAGATGAATTTGTATGTCCTTTGACTTCATGAATATATCCATATTTCCCCACTGATTCATTGAGTTGCCTATGAATTTTTAAAAGCTAATAATATTGCAGCTACTCCTCTACTTATGACTCTTCTGTGGCTTTTCCATCACTCTTGAACTATTGTTATCCAGACTCTTCATCTTGGCTGCAAGCCCTC